ACGAATGAGACTCGGCGAAGGTGGAAAAATGTTTCCATTTAGCCGTATATGACTTCCTTGTGGACGGCTTTAGGGCAGAGTCAATAATATGCTGAATCTCAGGGTGCAAGAGCATTGGGTTCGAATTCAACGGGGTCTGTCTCGAACCGGATGGTACGGAGAGACTGTGGCAGTGAGAGGCACCCGCATGGTTGGATTCGAGAATCGGAACCAAAGCGGTCGAAGTAATCGTCGATACCGATGGATTAATAGAAGCTGTCGGATTCGAGGCTCTCGAATCCGTTGTCGGCCCCAATGGAAGGTCAATCATTGAATCCGCCACGCTGTCAGGTTCAATGAGAGCAAGTCCGGGTGACGAAGTGTGCCGTCCATTTGCATTATAAGATATGGAAGTGCCGGAAGATGAAGAAACTCCCCGCGGGAGATGTCGAGCAGTTTCGCAAACCACACTTGATGTGGCCACCAAGGGGCAACTAGTATCCCCGATGCACGGTCGCTCACTATCTTTGCTATGACCCTCATCAGAAGAGGGATCGGAGGGAAAGCATAGAAGTTAATGTTGTCCCAAGGGATCATGAATGCGTCCCCTAGGGATGCTTGTCCAATTCCCGCTCTGGAACAGTAAGTCTCGCATACTCTGTTCTGTCGAGTAGTGAATAAGTCCACATCGGGGAACCCCCAGCACCTGAAAAGGTGGTTGCGCGTATGAGGATCCAGTTCCCACTCATGAGAAGAAGATGTGTCTGCTGAGAAGATCCGCGTGCACGTTGTCTATGCCAGCCAGATGAACGGCCATCAGAGTAATGTGTCTCTGAATGCACCAGTCCCAAATTCTCATAGAAAGCCTGGCTAAGGTTGGTGACTTCGTCCCTCCTTGCTTGTTCAGATAAAAAACGGTCACTATATTGTCCAAAGTTATCTGAACGATACGATGATGAAGGAGGTCTTCGAAAGAACGAAGGGCTTTGAAGACTGCCAGCAGCTCTAGGAAGTTGATATGATTCGTGGATTCTAGACGAGTCCACATTCCCTGGGTAGACAGGCCAGAGCATATTGCCCCCCATCCTAGGAGAGACGCATCGGTACCGAGAGTTATCGAAGGAGGTCGCGCCCTGAAGGGGACTCCCATCATGAGATTGGTCGGTTTCAGCCACCAGCACAGGGAGTGGAGCACGGAAGACGGGATCCGAATCCGTTTCGACTGTGGATCTCTTTGTGGATGATACACCTTGTTGAAGAATCGTTGTAGTGGGCGAAGCCAAAGTCTGGCATGTGGAACTACGGCAACTGAGGAAGCCATATACCCCAGGACCCTCTGGATGGATCTCGCTGTAACCGTTCCCTCTCGTCGGATTCGATGGATATGGTGAGCGAGAGTCTGCTGTCTGTCCTGAGGGAGGAAGGCTTTCTCCAACATCGAATCCAAGCGGGCTCCAATGAAGGTGAGCATCTGTGTCGGAAGAAGAGAAGATTTCCCTGTATTAATACGTAGGCCCAGACTATCTAGTAAGGTACGGGTTGTATGGATGGTGTCTAGGAGTCCTTCTTTGGATTGCGAGACCAACAGCCAGTCATCGAGGTACGGGTAAATATGTATGCCCTGAAGGAGTACGAAGGCACAGACAGGAGCCATGCATTTGGTAAAAACTCTCGGAGCCGTAGCCAGTCCAAAGGGTAAAACTGTGAACTCATAAAGTTGGTTTGCAACAGCAAAACGGAGGAAACACCTGTAAGTTGGATGCATTGAAATATGAAAGTAGGCGTCCTTCAGGTCCAGTGAGGCGAACCAATTACCTCTCCTTAACAACGGGAAAATGTTTTGAAGGGTGGTCATACGAAACTTTCTCGGTATAATAAACTTATTCAAGTCCCGCAAATCCAAAATTGGACGTAGACCACCATCCCACTTGGGGACCGTAAAGTATCTGGAATAGAATCCGTGAAGTCCATCAGATGGAAATACTTGACGAATTGCTCTTTTAAGGAGAAGTTGCTGTATTTCGTTGAGAAGTACCGGCGAACATGAAGTAGACCGGATCGGACTCAATGGAGGAACGATGTCGAATTCTATTCAATAGCCGTGTTTAACGATGGATAATACCCACCGGTCAGATGTGATGGACTCCCAATGGGGAGTCGGCTTCGGAGCCGATCCCCAGATGAGAGGGGGGTGGGTATTAGAGGAGCATGAGGAGTGGTTCGCCAGTCCCGTCAACACTGAATCCGATCGTCGAAACGACGGTGGCCCTGTTGGAAGTGCTGTTGGGGCTGAGGGCGGTGGTGCTGTTGATGCTGTTGCTGGCGGTGTTGCAGCAGCTGTCTGCTGGTATGACTGGTTGTAGGATGGCTGATTCCAGGACCACTTACGTCTGCTGTGTGACTGGATCTCCATCCTGCGTGCCGTCATTCTTGACTCGTGCAGTTTCTTGAGTTTGTGGTCGGTACGTGAATGGAAGAGCCCGGAACCATCAAAAGGCATCTCTTCTATTCGCCGCTTGGTTTCCTCCAGGAAATTACAATTCCGAAGCCATGCGTGTCTCCGGAGGGAAACGGCACCGACCAAGGCCCGGGAGTCAGTGTCCACATGGTGACGTGCCGTGGACAACTGCTGCACCGCGACCTGCATGGCTTCTTTGATTAGGACCTTCGCAAAGTGACCCTGGTGGTCTGGGAGGGTAGAGGCGACGTTGTGGGGGCACTGCATAATAAAATATTGATATCGCGCCAACGTCGCCTCGTAGTTGGAAATGCGAAGTCCTAAGCCCGAGGCAGCATAGACTCGCCTGGCCAGGGAATCTATTTTCCGGCCCTCCTTATCCCTCGGTGCCGTATGTCCTCTCACCTCTCTGCCTTGCAAGGATTCGACGACCACCGAGTTTGGTTTCGGGTGCTTTAGCAGGAAGGGGATGTCTTCTTCCTGGACCCTGTACATAGACTCATATCTCCTGGATGTCGGCTGAGGATGTGAAGGTAGGTCCCAGGGCTGCGTCATCGCCTACCGCAGGGTAGTTATAAGCGGCAGAACGATGGAAGTCGATTGCTCCCCGCGGACGATGTCGTAAAACTTGTCCGTCGAAGGTCCTGGGCGCTGGGCAGCGTCGATGTCCAGGGACTGGACAAGCCTTGACATCAGCTCCGTGAAGGAGACGTGTGACTCACTGGGTGACGCAGGATCCTGGGATGTCACCATGACGTCCGGGGAGGTTGAGTCTACTTCAGAGATATCCGAATCAGCACCGTAGTATGGTGGGGCAGAAGATGATGACTCCGCCGGCGAGAAGGAGCAGCTGCTTTCGCTTTGTGGGGATCGAGGTGGCACCCTCCTCGAATCCACAGACCGCGGTTGGTCGTGGGGCGGAGGTGAGGATCGCTCCCTGGGAGCAGGGTAGTACCCCACAGAGAGCGGGTCTCCCCAAGGTTGGTAGTAAGGACGACGCCAACTCTCTGGGCGTTGCTCTACCGAGCAGCTCCTCCGATTCCCTGGTGGGGACAGGCCAGCTTCTGTCTCCAACGTCACCGCGGGCATCGGTGTCGGTGACCTCGCTCTAGGAGGGGAGTCCTGGATTTCCCCATCCGAAATAGACCCCCGTAAAGTTGGAAGGGGTGCAGGTGGGAGGTTGACTGCACGTCGGGGAAACCCTTGAGGGGTAACCCGCATGGCCTCCTGAAGGATCGGTTTGGGCGGGGTCGGTATCGTAACCGCCACCGCTACTGAGGGTCCCGTCAGCTCCGAGTCCTGATGTCGGGAACAGTCCGTGGACTTAGCCTTCTTCGGAGGCTTAGAGGCCTTCTCTTTTCTGGCCTTCTTATGGCCTGCCAGATTCTCTTCGGCATGCTTCCGCTTCTCATGCCTCTTTTTCGGTGAAACAGAGGGGGCCACCGAAGCGGACGCATCTTCATCCGAAGGGCGTGAGGGTGGAGCCACAGAAGCGGAGCCAGGTTTTGGGATAGAGACGAGCGGGTCTGATTGCATCAGAGCCCTATCCCAAAGGAGCCTCCGAAGCCGGTTCTCGCGGTTCTTCCTAGCCTGCTTTGAGAAGGCTAGGCAATGAACGTACTTATCCGTCCTATGCCCCTCTCCAAGGCAGAGGAGGCATAGGTTGTGCGGGTCAGTAGGTGCCATTTTTGACCCACAGTCTGCACATTTGCGGAAAGCCGCTCGCTGCGCCATCGCAGAAGAAGAAAAAGAAGAGAGATAGTGCAGAGGGTAAGTGTATATATATATATTTGACAGATCGAAGAAGAAAAAACAAGAGAAAAACTACACAGAAGTGGGAAACGAAGTAAGGGGAAAGTAGTATAAGGGCAGTATATAAGGAGAGAACCAAGAATAGCCAAAGCGAAAGTCAAAAGAGGCATGAGGCACAGTGAACGGCGGTTGCAAAGACTGAACAAAATGGCGGACGCTCCGCTCTTTATAGGCCACAGGGGGGAGGGGAGCGGAGCTTCCCGCCAAAAACCATTAGCTATCAATCTTCTGGCCACAGGCACTGCGCAGGCGCAGTACCCATATGTGTGATGCACAGAGGCCACGACGAAGAATGCATATTTCAATTAAAAAAAAACTCTAGCCAAACTATAGTTGATATGCTGTTAGAATTATCAGTGGAGAGGGGATGAAGAAAGGAAGTGCAAAGCCTGTCCCTGGATTTCACTGTGCAGTATAGATACACTAGGGGCTAGCAAATGTTATCTGAACAGACCTTCAGTTAGAATTTACATTTTCCTCACAACAGGATGACACAAAGAAAGCATAGTACATTAAAAATTAGACTTGATTAGAATGAGCTGATAGATTGGACTCTCCTGACCACTTAAGACTGCAGGTAGGGAAAATTGTACTCCAAGGAGAAATATTCCAAAGCCATATTTTAGAATATGACATTCAATGCCGTAAAAGTCTCGAGAATACAGAATTCAGAACATTTATACACAGGAATTCAAATAGAATCCCCTCTCTCTGGCAAATGCCAAACAGGGACTATGGACAAGTAACTTACTTTTGCCAATAAAATTTTCTGAACTGGCTCAGAGTCATCAAACACTACAAAACCAAAGTTTGGAAGTTTTCCACCAACGCCTTTAGTATTGATGCGAAGTTCCACGACGTTACCAAAACCTGTGAAAATGAAGCACAAGTGTTTATAAAAATAAAGATGTACAGGGACTTCCAAGGGAATGGCGACTTGAAGCAGAGGCAGCAACATTTGTTGCTGTTCCTGCCTTATCTTGTTTTGGAGGATAAAATTGTCCTTGAGGTGTTTACCTCTCTGACAGATAAGCATGAAGACTCTGTCTACGGCTCTGATTACAGCGAGATGGCAAGATAAGGTGAACTGAAATAGTTATAAAGTCAACTCCCCACATTTATTCCTTTTCATTCTCTTTTTCTTCCTACATTATTTTTATTTCTATTTCTTTTTACATTACAGTGGTATCTCAGCTCACGAATGCCTCAGTTCACGACCAAATCGGGTTGTGAACAGAAATTTCTGAAAAATTTTGCCTCAGGCTGTGAACTCCCCATCGGGTGATGATCGCGATTGCACCTGTCTCCCTGCCGAGCACCCGTGATCACACCCGTCTCCCCCTGAGCGCGTCCATGATTGCGCCCATCTATGGCCACGATCACAGTCCTATGGGGTGGGGGGGAGATGGCCATGCTTATGCTCGGGGTGTGGGGGAGATGGCCGCAATCTTTGTTATTGTCACTTTGCTTCAATTTTTTGTGATTAAAAAAAAAATAGTTACAGAACAGATTAACCTTATTTACATTGAACCTTATGGGGAAATTTGTCTTGGCTCACGACCAATGTGGGTCATGACCAGAGGCTTGGAACGGATTAAGTTCATGAGCCAAGGTACCACTGTATAACTTTTTTTTTGCCAAGGGAATAATACTGCTGCAACTTAGACTCTCAAGGAATTTTGTTTGCATATTTTGAAAAGACTCTGAAACAGATAATCGTTCGTTGATGGATGGCGTCTCATTTGCAAAGCTGTTTAATGTTTCTATTTTAAAATTAAGTATTAAACTGACCTTGGGAAGAGAATATTGAAGGACAACAACGCTTTCCATATAGCTCAGATTTGAGGCTGCAATTTTGGCTGTGATTCAGATTTCAAGGCATTTACCTACTTAGAAAAGGACTTTGAAAGGGGTATTCCTTTAATGTCTGTTTGAACTCTAATTAAGTCCTTAATTTTGTAGTTGTAAACTGTCTGATATCTATATTGAAGAAATTTGGACATTATAAACTGACCTTGCCTGACGTTTGGTGTGATGGAAGAGACAGTGTCTCCTTCTTCCGTCACCATTTTCTGAGGGAGTGGCTGCCTGTTTGAGCCAAGTAATTTTTCTGTTGTTTTGGATCTGATCTATGTATGATTTGTTGCAAGGAACAATTATATCTCCCTGATGGGACTGGGCAAGACTTGGTCTTGCTCCTTCTCCCCTTCTTCAACTGTGGGTGATGGAAAACAAAGAGAACAAGCATGATGTGGTATGAGAAGATCATTAGTGCCACCTGTTGGACTTTGGAAAAACTGGAAGTTAAAGCTCCCTGCTATGAAAGTCTGAACAATGCCTTTACTTAACTAATCTAAACTAATATATTCATAGAGATAGAATGGGATTAATAATTCTAACATTGACTGAAGGCTGACTAATTGCCTCTTATCTACTTCTCTTCTTGTCCTTTTCTCTTTTCCCCGCCTTCTCTTTTTTCTTCTTTTCTTGATTTCCTCCTCCCCTAATTCTTCTGCTTTAAGCTGTAGTCTTAAATTTTTAATTTGTTTACAGTTATGAAGAAAAGATGGATGTGTGGAGGAGAAGAGGCGAGAACACAAGAAGGAAATCTGAATTGGATGTGGGAAAATGGATAATAAAGCTGAAAAGAGATAACCGTTTAAGCACCTTAGATTGATTATTAGAGACAAAATGAAGAATATGCTTTTTGAATATAGTCCCAGAGAGCCTTTCAAAGAATATGTTAGAATTATTTTGGTATATGATAATCATGGCAATTGCAGTTGTTTCTGAAATTGTCGGAGCCCCCAACAATTGAAGAATGGAGAAACGGATTGGCAGAGTATGTTGTGATGGCCAAGTAGACTAGCCGTGCTGACATATTGTCAGCCGATAAACAGAATTTTACTGTGCTTAGCATGTTTAGTGGGATTTGAGGAGTTTAGAAAAGGAAAGATAACTGTAGAGGATTTGAAATGATTGGGGAATCTGTTGTGGTACAGATTAATGATTTCTTTCTTTTGTTAAATTCTCATGGACCACAGAAAGACAGGAAAATCGATAGATTTGGGAGGCTGATTGTATTGGTTGGCTCTGTATAGAATTCCCTTGGCAACCTTGTCTGTTTTAGCTTTCTTTGTCTATTTTAGTTGTTTTGTTTATTATTGTTGCTTTGTTAATTAAAACAAGATGTACAGTATCTACTAAACAGCACTGTAATTAACTCAGAAGGATATTTTTGTAATGTCTGTTAAAGAGGTAGTTCAGAAAGTTTTAGCATATGTTTAAGGATTTATGGCTCCTCCAATGCAAACTGAAAGATACATCACGTACTCATGAAGAATTCCTTCAGTTCATTCTCATCAATATCATGTGGTAAGTTGCCAACAAAGAGCTGGTGACTATCTGGATAGCGAATTATTCTGCGATTGTCTGATTCGTTCTGATCCATATCTCCTCGACCTGCAGTCATTCAAAAAATGAAGCACATTCAGTGTAAATCTGTACACTTTTAATAAGAATGGGCAGTGGCAAGTGTCTATTGATTTATAACTTACAGAATAGTTTGCTTTGAAATAGTAAAAAGGATGGGTTTTCAATCCTATCAAAGTTTCATTGTAATGAAATTGCATGCATCATTCTAAATCCTACACAAGGGTGCAGAAGCAGTGTCACCTGGTTAAAGGTTCTAGTAAGCTTTTAAGAATGCAAAATCTGCATTTATGTTACTTTCTGATATGTTCCAACATAGGTTTCTTGGCTCCTCTCCACCCCCAACTATGATATCATAGTTGTACAGGCAGTCCCTAAGTTACAAACATCCGAGTTATGAACAACCCATATTCACAAACGAACTGCCATAAAGCCTATTAATTTTTTAAAAATTACTGCAGGAAATTGCCATCACCATAGAGAAGGAGGAAATGAAAGGGTAGAGAGGGAGGCCTCCAAAGCATGCCTTCCTGTCCCACCCATCCAGAGAGGGAAATCTCTTCAGCGTTTCCTTGCTGCAAAGACGTGGCACTGATGAACTTGGGCAGCGAGGGGATTTGCGGTTTTTCTACTTTCATGGGGGCCTGAACCCCTAACCCCCTCCCCCCTGAATGTGGAGGGCTGATGATATGTGCAAGTTACTAATGCAAGTTAAAGATGAATTTCCATTTTCTCAGGAACATAATTTGTTTATAACCCGAGGAATGCCTGTATTAGACTTGTGAATAAACTCACCTATTAATCTGTAGCAAATAAGAAAGCACTCAGGAAAAATTTCAGTATTGGAAGAAGGTTGGGTTTTAATTTATTTCAGGCAGTTGCCTGAAAGATATTTGGGCAGATGGGTGGTAACTTACAGCACAATTCTATGCATGTCTACTTAGAAATAATCCTCCATGAATTCCATGTATAGGACTGCAGCCTTAGACATCATGTCTAACCACTTTGGTTGCAGAGAAGCATGAGAACAGGTTAGTAATCACCATACATTCAGATAACAAAGCCATTGGACAACATTCAAAGAACTACTTTTGGGATACTCCAAACCTTAGAAATGTGTGACTTCTATCTCTTGAATGCCAGACCCCCACTGCCATCCACAGGAGCCTGGAGAAGGATGGGAGTTGTAGGACTTCATCTAATATGCATAGGCTCACTAATTAAGTAAACTAATTAAGTAATTCCCCTTTACTTTCAAGAGAAGTGTATAAATGCAACATTGTGACCATGCGCAAATCACAAATACAGTCTGCCTTTGGACACAAAGAACTAGACATGTGTTTTTTTCAATCCAGACTATCATTTCCCCAATTTCAATTTACAATGACCAATTGTCAAGGTCTGAAATACTAAAACCAAAATATGTATGTAGGGTTACAAATAATAGAGTGAGCATAATACAATGCTGCTGTGGCTTAGCATCAAGGAGAGTTATAAAAATGATACATTGGTTAAGCAGGTTGTGGTCAATATTAATTAAATGGAGAATGCCATATTCACATGAAGACGAGGAGAAAATGCATATAAACAGTGATTGTTGTGCCTAATATCTGATAATGGAACTCTGCCTCAAGTAGTATATGAAAATATCCACACCATGACACCATAACATAATAGGATATTACATGCAAGTTCAATTTAAATAATCTCTGTATGGGAACTATACATATTGCCCAGCCAACGCATGACATTTCAGTGGGTAGAAACAGAAACACAAAAACAGAGTGAGTCAGAAGGGGCCTCCCAAGCTCCCATCTAGTCTGATCCCCAGCTCCAGTCGGCTCCACTCATGACATGCCTACCATGTTCCTGTCCAGCTTATCCTTAAACACACTCATGGATGGGGCTTCAACCTTCTCCTGTATTATTATGCAGAGTACCCACTCTCAAATGTACTTTCAACACCTGGTAATTCTGGATATGCTTTCAAGCAAAAGTATACTCTCTTACTCTCATTAGTATGGTGTATGGGGTCCTGTTAGTATCATTCAGCCATATTTGTAATATGGTATTCAGTAATAATGAAAATCTTGCTTTGTTAATCCCATAGAACATTTCCCCTTATACTATTAAATCAAACTTTGGGTTTGGGAGAAATGGAAGTTATAATCTTGTTTTATTAATATACCAGAAAGGCAGGTTGCATACCTGTAACTGTCATTCTTTGATTGGCCATCTGTGCATTCACACACGAGTGCTGTGCTTGTGCAGTGCCACATTTGGAAAGATTCCTCTAGCTAAGTCTAGATTTTTTGGTGGGAGCCCCCCACCCCGCATTATGTAAATATGTGGGCTTCCGTCAATTTCTCAGTCCAACTGGAGACCAACATTTGCCCTTTTTTCTAGGTCCAGAACTGTACTATCACTGTGTAAATAATAGATGAAGGGACAGGAAAAAAAACATCCACCAACACTGATGCGGGGCCAGCAGGTGGGTTGCGTGAATGCACAGATGACCACTCAAAGAACAATAGTTATATGTATGCAACCTGCCTTTCTTTGTTGTGGTCTCTGTGCATCACACATATGGGTGACTAGTAAGCACACCATTAAAGGAAGAGGAAGGTATTGTTAGAAGAGAGGTGACAACACAGACCAGCCAGAGGAGCAGTCTCATCTGGCTCTCACATTGAGCTGATAGTAGTGGACGAATGGATGGTGTTGATCACATAGCTGCTCTGCACAACACGTCTAACAGTAGTCCACATGGAGGGCTGCTGATGTCAATATTGACCTGGTGGAATGAACTCTAGGACTGTCTGACAAGTCCAAGTCTGCTAGGTGGTATGCTAATTTAACTGTCTCTATGATCCAGTGTGCAAAGCACTGGGAACTGACTGGCTCGCCTTTGGAGTAGTGTACATATATGATAAACATATATTTTGCGAACCCACTTGGTTCGGGACCAATAGAAAGCTAGCATTTGGCTACCATTGAGAGTATGTAGTGCCCTTTCAGTGCCCACAGATGGTGAAGGAAAGAATGCCAGGAGCACTATTTCTTGATTTACATGAAAGAAGGAAGAGACTTTAGGGGGAAAGGATGGATCAGTACGGAGTACCACTTCTTTCTTGGGAAAGTCAAGTATGGAGGATCTCTCTGTAGTGGGCAGAGTTTGTTCACTCTATGAGCTGAGGTGATGACTAGTAGGACTAAGAGATGAGGCAAAGGTCCATGGTAGCTTCATGTAACACTATGTAACACTATGGATAGATTCCAGCTAGGGACTATGGATCAGCCAGGAGGATTTTGAAGCCTTTCATGAAATGTTCTGAGAGAGGGTGAGCGAAAGCTAAGTAGCCCTCAACAGGACCTTGGAAGGCAGAGATTGCAGATAGGTACACCTTGACAAAGGTTAGTTTATGTCCTTTTTGGTGCAGGGAGTGTAGAAACATCCCCCATGGAATTCTTGCCAATCCCTGCTCTGGAACAGCAGTTACTGAATGCAGCATTCTCTTTCGTAGCAAAGAGGACTGTAGATGGGGTACCTCATGCAGCAAATATGTTGTTCAGGATCTCTGTGTTGAGTTTCCATTCATGAATTAGGAATGGGGTGTGGCTGAGTATGTCAATAGTAACGTATGAGTCTACGGACATACTGCCCTAAATGAGCCCAATATCATCTAAGGTTATGTCGTGGTGAATGCAGCAGTTCCATATTCATAGGATTAGTCAGATCAGTGGCTCTCGTTCCACCCTGTTTGTTGATATAGAATACTGTGGTGGTATTGTTTGAGACTATTTGGATGTGTTTGCCAACTAGCATGTTCAGTAGATCAATGAACACTTTGTACACAGCCAGCAGCTCCAGGAAGTTTATATGGAGTCTCTTTTTGTGCCTGAACCAAGTCCCAAAGGTAGAAATGGAAGTCGCTCCAACAGATTCGAATTGTGCATCCTCCAAGCTAGGTTGCCAATACATGAATAGGCAGCATTAGAGTCTTTCTCAGCAAGCTGCACACCTTGTAAACTGGAGCTAGTGTGGGCGCATTTGCAGCCTGGCATAATGCACAATGGCGATGGCCGATGCTATGCACCTTAGTAACTGTTGAATCTGTTGAGTGGGGGACCTCGGGTTGGTACAAAGGTTAGAGACTGTAGTCATGAGCTTCTCCATACGGTCACAGGGAAGGTACACTCAAGCTGGCACAGAATAGAGAACTGCTTCAATACACAGGGATGGTCTGTGAAGGAGCAAGCATGGATTTTTCGATATTAATGCCCAGACCAAACGGTTAAGAGTAGTGCAGGTAATTTCAATTGACTGCAGTTAAGTCCTGTTTAGTGTCAGCTACTAACATACAGTTGTCTAAGTAGAGGTAAATGTGTATCCCCTGAAGTCGCAAATGTACACACATTGGATACTCTCGGTGTCATAGAGAGATCTAATGGTAGCCCCTTGAACTGGAAGGGGTTCGTAGCCATCTGCATCCATAGAAAATAGGTGTAGTCGGGATGGATGCTAATATGAAAGCATGCATCCTTTAAATCAATGGATATGAGCCGAACCCCTTTTTGCAATAGTGGCATAATGACTAGCAGGGGAAACCATTCTGAATTTCTTTTGAGGATGATTTACTCTTCACAGATCCAAATGAACCACTGACCTCCATCTCTCTCTTTTTTTTTTTTTTTTTTTGGAACCATCTCTTTTTTTTTTTTTTTGGAATGGTAAAGTAGTGTGAATGGACACTGTGTAGCCTTGGACTGGTGTATTGGTCAGATCAGACCTTTTACTAGTAAATTGGTGACTTCCTCCATTAGGATTAGAGAAGGAGGAGTGATGTGAACTGTTCCAAGAGGAGGCAGGGTCTTAAATTCAATTCTGTATCCATGCAGTACTATGAAAGTACCCATCTGTCAGATGTGATGGATTCCGTGCTGGGAAGATGGTGACTTAGGTAGTCTCCAAATGGGGGTGGGAAGTTAGTTAAAGGACTGGTTTATGTTGTCCATCAATGCTGTCTTTTGTCAGAGTTGAGCCATATCCTGCCTTGCTGGAGTTGGCCACAGTCCCAGTGGCATTTGCGGTTTGGTGGTTACTACCCATAATGAGGATAGCCAGCGTAAGGATCTTGTCATCTGGAATGGTAGGGCTGGTACTGGGGAAATTGGGCCCACGGCCACTAGTTGAAATGGGTTGATGCCATATGCCAAGCCGTTGCTCTAGCCTTCGGGAGCTTGTCTAATCTCTTGTCCGTGCGGGTGTGAAAGAGGCCTTCTCTGTCAAACGGCATGCTCTCAATCTGGCAATGTGTCTCGAGAGAGGTTAGCCACCCGAAGCCATGCATGTTTTCAAATCGTGCCTGCACTTACTAAGGCTCTGGAATCACAACTGCCATGATGGCATGTTGTTCTGATCTGTTGTTCTGAGAGCTGAATACCCTCTGTGAGGAAGACTCTGGTTAGTTGTTGATCTGGTAGAAAGGCCACCAGAGCCTCCATTTTCTGCCACAAGAATACCTGGTACCTCCTCATCATAACTTCATAGTTTGAGATGCAGAAGCCCAGGCCCATCATGGAGTATATCAGTTGTGCCATCATGTCTAAGCAATAACCCTCTCTGTCAGTCAGTGCAGAGTGGTCTTTGTGCAGTTGTCCTTGAATGGACACAACAATGATGGAATTTGGGTGTGGATGGTGCAAAAGGTGGGGAATATCTCTCTCCTGTACCTGGTACATCCCTTCCAGCTGGAAGTGGGAAGTGGGGTGCAGCTGGTTAGGAATCTCCCAGGGTTCTTTCATTGTCTTGGATAGTGTAGGATTGAATGGTATTGCTACCAGGACCAAGTCCTCCATCCACCAAGTAGATGCCTAGGGACAAGGCCATCTGGAGGACTTGTTCAAAGAAATGTCCAATGCTTTCCTCTGTGGATCCTAGGACCTGGGAGGAAACTTTGTCCCGGGATGACGAGATGGGTTCCACAGATTCTGCATGCGATTCTGAGTCAGAGTTGTAATCCATTGGATCTGATGAGGTAGATCTGGTTGATAGAGAAGGCAATCTGTGAACACTCCCAGGCTGTTGTTGAGTAGAGGTGCCCACTCCAGTTTGGGATGTCAGAGCTGTCTTGGTGGGGACCAATGCACCATGTCTTATTGGTGCTGGTGGCCAAGCATAATTGCAGGGGTTCACTGCATGTTCTTATCCGTATCCTAGAAGGTACTGGCTTGGGAATGGTTATCATCTGCAATATGGTTTCCCCCTATATGACTGTGCCGTTGGTTCGAAGCTGCGCACGAAGTGGTGGGGAACATTGGTGATGGGTTGGTTGAGGTTGGACAGAATGGACAGCATATGTGAGGCACTGACTTGATGCTGGTTGCACAATGGGGTGTGTGCACTGATCAAGCAGGGGACATTTAAATGGTAGGCAAATGGATTGGTGAATCATGAATCGGAGAATGATGTTGGTGCCGCCTGTTCAGGTTGGCCCAGCTGTGGTCTGATTGAGCCAGAGTAGTGGGGGATGGGATGGAGAGGCTTGAGTTAGTAGTGTGACCAGAGCGGATGAGGTGGTCAGAGTGTGAGCCATGATGCTTGGAAACTTATCGAGTGCTCAGGCTTTTGAGCCTTTTTAGCCTGCTTATGGCCCTTGAACTTGAGGTATTTTCTCTTCTCCTTCTGCTTCTTAGGCATATTGAAGGTAGCCAATGGTTTCAAAGCTGCAGAGGATGGCTTTGGCTTCCCTGTAGCACTGGTCAATGGGTGCTTTTTTGTGGCCTCTTTTGAAATTGAGGGACCTTCATCTTGGCTGCCAGCACTGTCTTTCATGGCGCCCAGAGAATGCTTCCACATTTCCATCCTCAGATGACCAGTCCTGTTTTTATGGGCCTGCTTGGTGAAGGCCTGGCAGTGCGTGCACTTGTCAACACAATGTTCCTCCCACAAGCAGAAGAGGCATAAAGAGTGGCCATTGTTGGAAGGCATCTTAATGCCACATTCAGCATATTTACAAAATGCCAGTTTGAGAGCCATCAGGGAGGAAGAAAGGAGGCCATGATGTAAGAGAAAGATGATAGAAGGGTTGTGTGTGTGTGTATTTTTGTGTGGGATAGAGGGAGGGAGGGAAGAGGGGATTCAAAAAAGGAGGCAGGTAAACACAAGTGGGAAGATTGGAAAAAAAGCAAAGAGGAGATTAAGAAGGCAGTAAGAAATACAAGAAAGTTTTTTGTGAGGAAAAGGCTGAGGTAATCATATAGTTAGAGATCCCCAGGCACTGCAAACAGTAGTTGAAATCAAACTGAGAAAATGGCAGGGGCCTGCCTATTTATAAAATGGGGAAGGAGGGGCAGGGCTCCTGTCAAAAATCCTGTCAAAAATCCTGACTTAGCTAGTGGAATCTTCCCGAACGTGGCACTGCACAGGCACAGTACCCACACGTGGATGCACAGAGACCACAACAAAGAACTGGAGGTTATTTTGAATACATTCAGAAGAAAAGACATGAGAAAGAGAAGGGTGTCCAGCTACTTAAAGTGGATGGCAGAGTGATAACAGACAACAAGGAAAAGGCAGAGATGCTCAATTCCTACTTCACTTCAGTCTTTTCCCACAAGGAAATCTACAACCAAGACGAAGTACAAGCTGAAAGTGAGAGATGGCAGCCCAAAATTGACAGACAAATGGTCAAGGAATACCTAGATGAAATAAACACATTCAAATCTCCAGGGCCTGATGAAGTCCATCCCAGAGTCATAAAAGAGCTAGCAGAGGAACTCTCAGAACCACCAGCTATTATCTCAATAAACTTGGAAAACAGGAGAAGCGCCAGATGACTGGAGAAGGGCTAATGTTGTCCCTATCTTCAAAAAGGGGGAAAAAGAGGAACTTGGGAACTATAGACCATTTTTCCATTGATTCCTGGAAAAATTCTGGAGTAAATTATTTAAAACATCAGTCTGCAAGTGTCTTGAAGAAAATGTGATGATTAATAGAAGCCAACATGGATTTATCAAAAATGAATCCTGTCAGGCTAAATTAATCTCATTTTTTTGACTGGGTAAACTCCCAAAAGGACAAAGGGAACACTGTAGACATAATCCACCTAGACTTTAGCAAAGCTTTTGACATAGTGCCACATGACATTCTGATAAGCAAATTAGCAAAAACTGGACTAGATGGAAAAACTATTAAGTGGATCCAAAATTGGCTGCTAAATTGGTCACAAAGAGTGCTCATCAATGGCACCTTCCCAAATTGGATGGAGGTAAATAGTGGGGTGCCACAGGGTTCAGTCCTGGGCCCAGTGCTCTTCAACATCTTTAATAATGATTCGGATGAGGAAGTACAAAGAAAAATAATCAGATTTGCAGATGATACAAAACTGGGTGGAATAGCAAACAGCCTACAAGACAGAATGAAGAACCAGGGCGATCTTGATAAACTTGAGCTGTGGGCTCAAAGCAACAGAATGAGATTCAGTAAAGAAAAATGCCAAGTCCTCCACCTAGGAAAAAGAAACCAAATACACAAGATACAAGATGGGGAATATGTGGCTCAAAAGAACTGCAAAAGAAATTGTCCTCTTGAAGTAATTGTGGACAATAGGCTAAATATGAGCTAACAATGTGATGCAGCCACCAAAATGACAAATGTTATTCTGGGATGTATTAACAGAAGTATTACTGCCAAATCACGAAAAACAGTAGTTCCTCTATACTCCTCACTAGTCAGACCTCATCTGGAATATTGTGTCCAGTTTTGGGCACCAAAATTTAAGAAAGATGCAGGAAAATTAGAAAGCGTTCAGAGGAGTGCAACAAAAATGATCCAGGGTTTGGAAACACTGCCCTATGAGGAGAGTCTGAGAGAACTGGATATGTTCAGCCTTGAGAAGACTGTGCGGGGGACATGATATCCACCTGTAATTACCTCAAAGGATGTCACAAAGAGGAAGGTCAAGATTTCTTCTCACTGATGACAGAGTGTAAGACAGAGAATAATCAGTTCAAGCTGTGACAACCCAGATTCAGGCTAGACATCAGGAAAAGCTTCCTCGCTGTCAGAGCAATACAACAGTGGAACCAGCTGCATAGAGAGGTGGTGGAGATATTTAAGGCAAACGAGATATTTAAGGCAAAACTGGATAGCCATCTGAATGGAATGGTGTAAATTGGTGTCTTGCAACAGCAGGGGGTTGGACCCAATGGCCCCTTCCAACTCTAATATTCTATGCTTTTATGAATGCTAAATAAATAAATGGAGGCTTGGATTTATCTGAGATCAGTCAGCAGCTACTAACCATGATAGCCAGCAGCTAAACCACCATCTTCCAAGCACAGTATATAGTAAATAATCAGTCTCACTAATCTGTCAGTATGAACTTTCCTGAGAGATCTGGTTAGCCTGCTGTTGATATCAACAGGCCTCTTTAAAATTCCAGGAGAGTGGAATTTCAAAACAAACAAACAAACAAAAAAGAGCAGGAGGAGCAGAATTGTGGTGATGGATATATAATTCAATTTCATTAAAATTTCAGCTTTCTTTTTTCCTGATAGCAAGTTTCGAGCACTTATAGCTGCAAACACAGGGTTGACAGAATGCAAGCAATGATTTCTGAGGCTTAATGGTTTGAGATATTCTTGTTGCTCTCATGTCTATCAGAAGAAAACTACACAAAACAGAAAAAAAATCCCCTTAATTTGCAAACATATGTAGCAGTGCTTGGGAAAAAAAGTTCACCTGGTCTGGGTCCCCTTGATGGAAAACCTGGTCGCTCCCTTGGACGTTGCTCACGCACACGAGGAGGCTGGGACTGGGTTTCAGGTTTTGATTCTACTCTTTGCTGGAATACAGAATACACTATTAACAAAAAAAAATCTAAAGGAAACTTAAAATTAAAAACAGCACAATTGACAAATGCAGAATAGTATATTTTTCCTACAGTAAAAAAATTACTAATTAATTCCTCTGTACCAATCCAGGACTGTAAGGCTTACTGATCTACCAGCAAACAGAATATAACCAAAATGCACACCCTCACAGAGAAAGAACCTAGTTCTGAAAAACATTATATTCATATTGGCTGAGTTCCAAAGCACTACACACAGGGACTTTTCAGCTACCTAGTCCAATGCCATTCCCTTGCGCAACTGAAAGCCATGGTCATGGGCCCTGCACAACTAGCGACAAAGAGCTGGTACCAGAAGACAGTATATCAGAGATAAAGAAAACTAGTCTGCTCAATTACAGATGGACACCTGCTGGGATTCCAGGCTTTTAATTAACCCGATTAAGGACTTCTCAGTTCAGAATGGTCTGGAACCTACTTAGTCAATGTATTTCATTACAAGTCAGTAATTAATATTAAAAATGGAAAAACCAGAATTCACTCAATGAATTTTGTTCACATCAAGTTGTACATATATTGGGATGTGTTCTTTCTACAGTAAAAGAAATTAGTGTCTGAAGCTAGCCTTTTCCAAATATGCTAAGTGGTTGTATTTTGTATGCATTTTACTGGCCCAGCAAAATGGTTCTAGATGGAACAGGCACTGCTATTTAATCTTAGGTACAGGGAAGTAATTTTCAAGCAGCAAGAAAGCCTCTGGGGCAGTCTCAATGAAACTGGGATCTGCAACAAAATGCTGCCACACATCTTTACCAGCTATCATAAATTCACCTGTCCAAGGGTCTGGGCAGCCTGGAATAGAAGTCTTATGGTCCTCTTCAGGTACTGGGGGGTGGGGGGAGGACACATTGTCTTTCCTATTTCCCTCTTCCCTCCCTCTGGACCAGAGCATTTTATAGCAGGATGCATTCAAACATCTGAGCCCACCTTTAAGATTAAGTGGGATCTGTGAGAAAATGTGCCTCTACCATTCCTCTATCTTCTAGCAGGAATGTTCCTGTTCAGGGCTCTAGCCAAGTAGATATGTCCTCTAGGATACTGTAAACTCAACCACTCCATTTTACCCACTCATGTTTCTTACTGTCAACCAATTCAACTTCCTGTTACTACTGCACATTGGACTGTTTTTAGAGAGTAGATCCTTTACGGTAAAAAACTAATTTCTTTGTCATTTTGTAAATGTCAGGGTTCCTCTGAGAACACTGATACCTCCTCTTGATTCCCAACAATCTAGTTTTGACTCAAATCCTGTTGACATGTACACTTGCTATTAGATGACATGTAAAGATAGATGCATGGCTATTTCTTAGCATAACTAATAATCCTACTGACTTAGATCAAAAAGATCAAAAGGCAGCCTGGCATTTAATTATTTAACTCGGTTAATATACTGGGTTCAGAGACCTTTATAATAATAATGGCACCTAGCAGAATTTTACTATAAAAAAGCTGCACAGTGATGTTCCTTCAAAATGGAGATATCCAAAGTTGGAAAATCTAAGTTACACTATGTTTCCCACAATCTACCAATACATTCTCTGTATTAATCCCACTGAAATGCTTTTATTCCTTTCCACATGAGACAACACAGATTGTGTCCTGAAGGTCAGATTGTTTAAAGACACTGGCATAAGTAGACTAAGATCTAAATGATCCAAGGTCTAAACGAAACAGATGATGATGATGATGATGATGATGATAGCACCAGAAATGGATATGGCAGCTTGCTTCAAGGAAAGGCAGCTATTTTGTAGAATACTAAATTAGGGGAAACCTTGAGTAGCAGCATTGTGGTGAAGCCTATAACTGCTTGCTCCATAGAGTCACAAAATGTTATTCTAAGCTACAGAAAGACTTTCAGCTGTACTAAATTTATTAAAATATGGAGACTTCAGACAAGTGTGTAACATTCTATATAACAAGCACCCAACTAGACTATGAACTTAGCTGTTTAAGTCACAGATCAGGTTTCACATTTCATAGTACTGTCAAGTTAATGGAATCTACTGGGGAAAATTCTAGGCAAGTTTAACATGCACTTTTCAGATTCATGAAAGATATTAAAGGAAAATTTGAACTTAATCTTGTTAGTTCCAGCTAGAGTGTATATACCCACAGCCTGGAAATCAACAAAAGCTTCTTCTTTAACAGACTAGAATAAACATTAATAAATGCTATACATACTGAATTGATCCAAAATAAAAAATATGGAAGATCATCAAACGTGTTTCTGAAAAGGCAGGTTGCTTAACTGTAACAGTTGTTCTTAAAGTGGACATCTGTGCATTTACACATATGGTCTCTGCACCGGCATGGAAGTTTTCACAATTGAAAGTGTTTTGGCAGCAAACCCCTCCCCCACCCTGGTGTTCACTATACATGGGAGGAGTTTCCACTCATTCCTTCAGTTTACTTGAGACTACCTTTGTGGCCTTGAGACTGAGGGATCATTCTGATTGATCTCAACTGAGGTACAGAAAAGAAAAATATTGACCCAGTTTCGATATATAAAAAATAATGTTTAGAATATGATATCAAAGAGGGGTTGGTGGATGCATTGTGTGAATGTACAGATGACCACTCAATGAATAACAGTTACAGGTGAACAACCAGACTTCCCTCTTTGTGGATTCTGTGCATCAGACATATGGGTGCCTAGTAAGCCTGTTGTTGGATGCTGGGACAGTGTCATCATTAAAGCACTGATGAAAGGACTGCCCTGCTGAAAGGATAATCAGCTTTGGCACAGATACAGAGTTTATTATTATTAGTTTTTTATAGCCAAAGCTCTCTGGGCAGTTAATAGAAGTTAAACAAAAAATTTAAAGACATCCAAAAATAATTTTAAAGATCAAAACCATAAGAACAATTGGAATTGCTATAATTCAGCACAGAAGTATAACAATGGTATAGAATAAAATATATAAATTTAAAAAGTGAAACACAGTTAAAATGCTGGAAAAATAAAAAGTTCTTCACCTGGTGCTGAAAAAAAAAAAAATACAAAGTACACATCAGGCACACCTCTATGGAGAATTCATTACAAAACTTGAGATATCACAGTAAAAAGGGCTCTCCTCTTGGCAGTCACCCACCTCACTTCCTCTCTCTCCCAGAGAACAACCCTTAAAGGAGATGATCATGATTTACTTCATTTCTATACTGCCCTGTAGCCAAAGCTCTCTAGTCTCAGGTTCTGGGTACATACATATGGGAGGAGGCGATCTTTCAGATAATCTGGCCCCAAGCAATTTGGGGCTCTGAATGTCTGTACTAATGCTTTGAATTGGGTGTGGAATTCAATGGGCACCCAGTGCAGCTAGAAGAACAAGTTCCCCTTAACAGTCTACCCTATTTTGGATCAGTTGAAGCTTCCAGACTTTTCAAAGGCAGCCCCACATACAGCACATTGCAGTAATCCCAACAAGAGGTTATACCAGAGCATGGATAACTTGCTAGGTTCTTTGTCCAGACAGGGCTGTACTTGATATATCAGCTTAAGCTGATAAAGTTGCTCCATGCTACCAAGTCCACTTATGCCTCAAGTGACAACTCTGTGTCCAGCAGCATCCCCAAAATATTGTCCTTTAGGAGGAGTGTAACCCCATCTAAAACAGGTTGCGTATCACCCAACTGAACAGGTAAACCACCCATCAACAGCACCTCTGTCTTGTCTGGTTTGAGTCTGTTGGACCTCACCCAACCCATTACAATGCTCACACACAGAGTGGCCACTACCTCACCTAGGCTTAAGGAAAGAGAGGAAAGCTGAGTGTTATTCACATATTAGTGGTACCTTAGCCCATATCTCTCAGTAACATCCCCCAGCAGCTTAATGTAGAAAGTAAATAGCATAGGGGATAAAATAAAACATTGCAATATCCAATGGCATAACTGCCATGGCAGGGAGCAATAATCCCCAGCACCATCTTCTGGAATCAGCTGGTCAAGGAAGAACAGAACAACTACAACGGAGTGCCTCCTACTCCCAGCCCAGCAAGCCTATCCAAAAGGGTACCATGCTTGATGGTACTGAAAGCTGCTGAAAGACCCAGGCAAATCAATAGGGTTGTACTCTGCCTTTCTCCCAGCAAAGGTTATCCCACAGGGCAACCAAGGCAGTTTCTGTTCTAAAACCAGGCCTTAAGTCTGGTGGAAACGGATCTAGATAATCCATTTCATTCAAGAGTGCCTGTTCAGACACCACCTGCTCCAGCACCTTGCCCAGGAAGGGGATGTTGGCCACTGGCCTATAGTTAACATCCTCTGGACCCAGGATAGGCTTTTTCATAAGTTGCTTCATTACAGCCTCTTTTAAAGCGGCTGACACCATTCTCTCTCTCTCAAGGAGGAACTTACCTTGACCCAAGCAGAAATCCCTTCCTAATTGTTGTGAGAAGCTATGATAAGCTTTGATTCAACCCCACAGGGGGTTGAATCCCTCATACCTTATCTTCCACAAGGACAAGGTAATGCTGCGCCCAGCTCCATCCTTGCTTCCAAAAGTAGCATCCCCTTTTCAATTAAATCACATTAGTTTGCTAGCATTTTTGCTTCCTTATCTAACCCAATGGAGGATTTGTTGCATACTCTGGATATTTGTAGAGTGCTGGAATTCTATGGGTCCAGTACTGAATCTTTCTGTCGAACCCAAAGGCTTTTTATCTTTTTATGGAGGCTAAAATAAAGGACAACCTCTGTCACTGCAGAGGCCAGTAGCCCGGATAGTGAGGAAACATAGAAACAGAGCGAGTCAGAAGGGGTCTCCCAGGCCACCTAGTCTGAGCTCCGGCACCAGCCAGCTGCGCTCACGACATGCCCACCATGTGGACGTCCAGCCTATCCTTGAACACCCACACCAATGGGGCCTCAACGACCTCTCGTGGAAGCCCATTCCACACCCTTGGGGTCCTAACTGTCAGGAAATGCTTCCT